ATCTTGCAACAGACTAAAAACCCAAAAGGCAGTAACACCCAGAATACATCTCTGAGAAGTAGTCATTTCCTAAGGGTTCTCAATACTAGCATTAAAGCTGCCTGCCAGAAATAATTTACAAGGAATTAAACTAAAAAAAAAAAAGAAAGAAAATAAGAAGACACAGAAGCAAGATGCAACCTAGCCTTCCAACTCACCAAATGCAAACCCAGAGGGCAAAGAAGTGAAACAATTAAAAAACCACCCACCTGGTCTCTCAAGTGGTAATAGCAAGAGTAACAAAGCAGATGAGCAAGGTTCTAGGAAAAATCAAATCAGAAATAATTTTTCAAATAACTACAGAGATGGTGACCACAATGAAGGATATGGTAAGTGACTCCAGAGCAGATACAGATAAAAAAAAAATAGAGGAACTTAGGAAAATGGTGGAAACAATGAATGCTCAACATAAGACAAAAATGAAATCCATCAAACAGATTCAAATATTCCATTCCAAACAGATTAAAAATTCCATTGAAAGTATATGCAGCAAAATGAGTCAATGTGAGGACAGAGTATCAGATATAGAAGACAAGATTGTGGTTAGCAATTGTGGAAAAAAATTCTTAAAAACAGCAAAGGACCACAAAAATTCAGCAAAAAGGAATAACTGAGATTGATTGGAGTCAATGAAAAAGCAGGAAATACCACAAATGACATCAAAACCTTGGCATAGAAGTAAGGGCAGAAAACTTTCCAAGCGTGGAAAAAGAATTTGACATTCAGATAAGTGAGGCATATAGAACTCCAATTAGCCATGATCAAAAAATATTTACATCAAGGCATATAGTAGTCAAGATTCCAGAAATTCAAAACAAGAACAGAATATTAAAAGCTGTTAGAAAAAAGGAACAAATCACCTATAAAGGAAACCTCATCAGAATCACAGCAGACTTCTCAACACAAAACCAGAGCGAAGTATCTCAAACCCTAAAAGAAAACAACCTCCAGCCCAGAATGATGTACCCCACAAAACCATCTTTCAGAATTGATGGAGAAATAAGATGCTTCCATGACAACACCTGAAGAAATTCGTGACCATCAAATTGGCACTCCAAAATGTTCTGAAAAGATATTCTAGAAAGATAACAAGGACTACAACTCCATGAACCTGAACAGAAGAAATCTACCAGGCAAGTCATGGGGGAAAAAGGGAATCAACAACAGGAAAATAATATGACAAGGATAAGTCAATACATAACAGTTATAAACATCAATGCAAATTATTTCAATTCACCAGTCAAAATAAACACACTGGCAGAATGGATCAAGAAGCAAGATCCAACAATATGCTGGATACAAGAAACACAATTTAAAAAGAAATTCATAGACTGAAAATCCAAGGATGGAAAACAATACTTCATGTGACAGGAACCCAGGAAAAAGCAGGGGGAACTATTCTATTTGCAGACAAATTGGATTTCAAGCTAAGACTGATTATGAGAGACAAAGAAGGTCACTACATCCTTGTAAAAGGATCAATCCAAGAGGAAGAGATAATAATCATAAATATATATGCACCAAATACCAGCACACCCAACTGTACAAAACAAATACTAATGGACATGAAAAATCAAATAAGCACTAATACAATTGTCATGGGGGACATCAATACCCTACCGTCACAAATAGACAGATCAACTAGACCAAAAAATCAATAAAGAAATATTAGAACTGAACCAAACTTTTGAACAAATTGACTTAGTAGATGTCTATAGAGTGTTCCACCCCACAACATCAGAACACACATTCCTCTGAGCTGTACACAGGATGTTCTCCAAAATAAACCATGCACTGACTCATAGAACATGCTTAAGTAAATGCAAAGGAACTGAAATTATCCCATGCATATTATCAGACCATGGTGCAAAGAAATTGGAAACCAATGGCAAAAGAACCCACAAAAACTTTATAAACACATGGAAATTAAATAACATCCTCCTGAGCAACCAATGGGTCATAAAGGAAATTAAAGAAGAAATTAGACAGTTTCTGCAATTAAATAATAATGCAAATACAACACACTGGAACTTATGGGACATATTGAAAGCAGTCCTATGAGGGAAACTTATAGTGGTGAATTCCCATATCAGAAAAACAGAGCAAGCTCGAATAAACAACCTAATGTTGAACCTGAAGCTTCTAGAAAAAGAAGAGCAAGTCAAGCTCAAAGCTTGTATGAGGGAGGAATTAATGCAATTGAGACTAAAAAAATAATACAAAGAATAAATGAATCAAAGAGTTGTTTCTTTGAAAGATTAAATAAAATTGACTTACTCTTAGTCAAGATTAACAAAAAAAGGAAAGAAAAGACTGAAATCCCTGCAATTAGGAATGAAAATGGTGAAATCACAGCAGATCCTGCAGAAATCCAGATCATCAATACCTACTGTGAGAACTTGTATTCCAATAAGATGGAAAACACAGAAGAAATGGACAGATTCCTAGATACATATGAATTACCAGGGCTGAAGCAAAAAGTTATAAAAATTCTAAGTAAACCAATATCAGTCAATGATATTGAAGATGTAATTGAAAACCTACTAACAAAGAAAAGCCCAGGCCCTGACAGCTCACTGCCAAATTCTATAAGAAATTTAGGGGAGATTTAATGCTACTAATCTTCAAACTCTTTACTGAAATTGAAAGGGAAGCAATACTCCCAAATTCATTCCTGGAAGCAAATAGTACCCTGATACCAAAACTAGAGAAAGATCCAACCAAAAAAGAGAACTCCAGGCCAATCTCCCTAATGAACATCGACGCAAAACTCTCAATAAGATACTGGCAGATAGAATGCAGCAAATTATCAAGCAGATTATACAACATGACCTAGTAAGATGCATCCAAGGAAGCAGGTATGGTTTACATATACAAATCAATAAATGTAATATACCATATTAACAAAGCCAAGGACAAAAACCATACGATCATCTCAATAGACACAGAAAAAGAATTAGATAAAGTGCAACACCCATTCATTATAAAGACCCTATAGAAAATTGGAATAGATGACCTTTATCTCAATTTGATAAAAGCCATCTATGACAACCCAACAGCCAGCATCATGCTAAATGGAAAAAAACCCTGAAAGCTTTCACTCTAAAATCAGGAACAAGACAAGGATGTTCACTGTCACCACTCTTATTCAATGTAGTTATTGCTTCTCGGCCTTTTGGCTAAGATCGAGTGTAGTATCTTATTCAATATGGTTCTGGAAACATTAGCCAGAGCTATTAGACAAGAGAAAGAAACAAAAAGAATAAAGATAGAAAAGAAAGAAGTTGGATTATCATTATTTGCAGATGACATGACACTCTACTTAGAAGATCCCAAAAACTCCACCGAAAGACTTCTGGATTTAATTACAAAATTCAGTAGTATAGCTGGATACAAAGTCAACACTCAAAAATCAATAGCATTCCTGTACACAAATAACAAACTCGCTGAGAGAGAAATTAAGGAAACAGAACCTTTCACAATAGTATCCAAAAAAATGAAATGCCTAGAAATCAATCTAACAAGGGAAGTAAAAAGCTTTACAGTGAAAACTGTAGTATATGAAAAAGAGTTCAAAGAGAATATCAGAAAATGGAAAGATATCCCTTGTTCTTGGGTAGGAAGAACCAAATAGTGAAAATGGCCATACTTTCAAATTGTTATACAGATTTAATGCAGTCTCAATCGAAATACCAATAGCATTATCTCACAGAATTAGAGAAAATAATCCTAAAATTCAATAGGAATCAGAAGAGATCTAAATAGCAAAAGCAATTCTGAGCAACAAAGACAAGGCAGGGGACATCACAATCCTGGTTTGAAATTATACTACAAAGCTACTGCAATAAAAACAGCATGGTACTGGGGGGAAAAAAGACCTGAGGATCAACAGAACAGATTAGAAGATGCAAAAAGAACTCCAAACACACTCACTGGAGTGTGAGTGTTCACCTTATCTTTGACAAAGGAGCCACCTTATCATTGACAAAGTAGCCAAACACCTTCACTGGAGGGAAGATATCCTCTTTAATAAATGGTGCTGGGAAAACTGGCTTTCCACATGCTGAAGATTAAAACTAGACCCATATCTTTCACCATGCACTAAACTAAAATTGAAATGGGTCAAAGATCTAATTATTAAAGCAGAAACACTAAATTTGCTGGAAGATAGAATAGGTGGAACTTGTGAATACATTGGTGTAGGGTAAGACATTATGATGCAAGCTCTGATTACCCAGGAAATATCACAATGAATCAACAACTGAGATCTCATCTTATTAAAAAAAGCTTTTGTACAACAAAGGGAACCACCAACAGAGTGAAGAGACAACCCACAGTGTGGGAAAAAATTGTTTCCAGCTGTTCCTCAGACACAGGACTAATATCTAGAATACATAAAGAATTTTAAAAAATCAGATCCCCCAAATTTAAAGAGCCAATCCAAAACTGAGCATCTGAAATGAATAGACACTTCTCAGATAAGAAATGTCAAATACATATATGAGAAAATGTTCGATATCACTGATTATTTGAGAGTTGCAAATTAAAATGACACTGTGATTCCATCTCACTCCAGAAAGAATGGCTATTATCAAGAAATCAACCAATAACAAATGCTGGAGGGGATGTGGGGAAAAAAGTACCCTTCTCCACTGTTGTTGGGAATACAGACTGGTGCAAGCAGTGTTGCAATAAGTATGGAAATTCCTCAAAAAACTAAAACTAGAGGTTCCATTCGATCCAGTGATCCCCTTCTTTATATCTTCCTGGAAGAATTAAAAGCATCATATGAGCACCTGCCTGGCAAGCACATGGTCCTGAGTTCGATCCCTGGTATAAAAAAAAAAAGCATCATATCACAGTGATATATGCACATCCGTGTTTATAGCAGCACAGTTTGTGATGGCTAAATCTTGGAAACAGCCCAAATGCCCATCAACAGATGAATGAATAAAGATGTATTTTTTATACAATGAAATACTACTCTGCCATAAAGTAGGATAAGCTTGAGACTTTCCTATTAAATGGATGCACTTTGAGACCATACTCTTAAGTGAAATAAGACAGACATCCATGTTTAAATATTACATTGTTTCTCTGGTGTAAGAAACTGAAAGTGTAAATAAAGATCAAAATGTACAATGGATATTGGGAAATGGGAAGAAAACATTCAAATGGGAAGGGAAACAAGGCAGAGGGGGCAGGGCAAAGGAAGGAAGAGATAAGAAAAAGAGAGAATATAAAGAAAAAATGGAAACAAAGCTTTTGTAAATAAGGACGGGAAGAGTGGTCAAAGTGGGTGGGAATGGGAAAAAAAGAAGGAAGATATATCATGTACAGGTACAAATTCCCTATGATGAATGTCATCATTATGAATATCTAAAATGTACTAATAAAATAAAAATTTTTAAAAAGTATCTCAAACAGTCAAACTTAAAAAAAAAAAAAAGAAATTGAAGCACACCGGCTTGCTGATCTCTTGCTCCCCGTGTGCCTGTGCAGGACTCAGTGGACAGAAAGTGCTGAAGGTATGGAAAGGAGTCATGGCTTCAGGGTGGCCGTCCTTGTGAATCATAGTGCAGAACAGGCTTGCCCTGAGAGAAACAGCAGCCAGTACAAACACAAACGTCATCCGAGCATCTCCGGGACAGGCTTCTGCCTACACCGTCACCATGATCTGATCCAGAGTCTTCCGTCTGAGGTCTGGCACTGTGGCCTCCTTGCTGGGGTAGCCCACCGGGAGCAGCACCAGCAGCTTTTCATGTGGAGGGCGGCCCAGGAGCATCCGAAGACGAGGGCCACAGTTGAGGGGAGTGGTGGTGACCGTCACCAGCCCTGCATTCTAGAATGGGAGAGGGAAAGTTAGAGGCAAATCCCAGCTCTGGCTTCAGCCTGGGGACATTCTCATCCTCATGACACTGCCTGCTCTTCCTATTATTTCCCTGAAGTTGGGCAGGGAAGAGGCTGGCAGCTTGGGTAATGGTGTCCTGAAGCTCACCTGTGCTCCTCGACCTCCCTACCCCCTGCCTTCTTCTAACCTAGCAGTTGGAAGCTTCTGGAAAAACAAAAATGCTAATATTATTTTTCAGTGATGTTTAAGAAATAGGAATAATTACTTTATGAAAAGAGGTTTGAGGAATCCAACTACAGTGAAGGAAATAAAACAATTGGGAGTTCCTTTTACCCAAGAGATCAGGCTGTATCTGGAATATGATCTAAGTGATGGCAGCAGGCTGCCAAAGGGTCCTAGCCCTAATACTACAGTTTTCCTACTAAATACCCTTTCCTGGACTCCAGTTATCTCACTACAGTTTGTTATCAATCTATAATACTAGCATTTGACCTATAAATGTCTAAGGGGTTAGAGTGACTTAATACAGCCTCTTCTAAAGGTCTCTCCTGTATATCACTGCAAACTCTGATTCATCACAGTTTGTGTTGCCAGAGGGACTATTCTCAAGGATACACACGCTAAATAATCTATCGATTTCCTCTTTCTTCATGAGCTTGGATGGTCTCTACTTCATTACTTCTCTTCCTTTATCATATCTTAACATAGTACTTGAATATGGAATGGCTAAATCTTAAACTTTTCAATGAGAAAGTACTTAATGTGGTATCATTTCATATATTGGTCATCTTTTAAAACATAGCTTTTACTCCACGCTGAAGTTTGTATATCTTTGGCAGTAGAAATCTGTGACTATATAAAACATATTAAACAACTTTGTTTGCTACTCTAAAGCTGGTTTCTGTTAGTATTTTATCTTTCATTTTTCTCTTGATATGAGTATATGAGTATTTTGGTCTTATCGTAGGTCAAGATTTTTTTTAAAAACCCTCGAATTCCCAGATCCCCAAAGGGCCAAGGATTGGATTCAGCAAGTCTGTGAGATTGAAAAACATAAATACAGTCATATACACACATATATATATATAACATTTTCTTCAACACAGACAACAAATCACAGTAGTATAAACAGTGTCTATGATCTGTCACCAATAAAGCTCACAGATATTTTCATATATCACTTTACAATTGGTATAGACATTAAAATATCATTATAGTCCTTACTTTAAAATTGTAGACTGGCTAGCTGGCTTTGATATTTAATATATTAATAAAGATTCCCCGGCTGGGGATTTAGCTCAGTGGTTCTGCTGCCTGCCTCACAAGCGAAAGGACCTGAGTTCGATCTCCGGTATGGGAAAAAAAAAAAAAGATTCCCATATTTTATTCTAAATGACAACAAGCACAGGGAATGTCTGTGACTACAGAAACAATGGTGGAAGGAGTGAATCACTCCTTGTGAAGGCACCAGGTCCAATGATAGGGCACCCAGCGGCCAAAAGGGACACCTGAGGGTAGAGGAAACACCTCACCGACCCCTCTCTCCCAGCCAATTCGTAGCTTTCAAGTACTTCTCCAGGTGCCTCCTGCACCGCCCATGCTTTCCCAGTCAGATGCCACCCCCCACCGGGGGCAGGAAGGTGCTCCTGTACGTCTTCTCGCCTGGTAGAGTTCTGCGGGGGGGGGGGGGACACCTTCCTTACCTCTCTTCTCCCTAACGCGGACCCAGCCTCAGAATTAAGCCAAAAGAACGCTAGAGGGCAGCACACTCCACAGTACTGCATAGTGCCAGAGACCTCGCGTTTCTGAGGCCCGCAACGCTATGAACTGACTTCTCATGAGGCTCATATTGCTACTTCCTATTGTCTGAAGGGTGCATGGGGACTTCCTTATTTGTCTGCTTACAGCTTCAGGAAGGAAAACAAATGCTAGCTTCTTCAAGACAATTTTTCAAGTAATCTAAAATTATGTTTCTCTTTCGTGCAACAATGACTAGATTTTTCATTGAGATAATGTAGGTGTGTGTGTGTGTAAAAAATTGTTCCTTGAAGGTCAGATCATCCGCTCTTACAATCTTGTTTGCTTTTTTATTATGCAAATTCACCATTTCTCTCTACCCTGTGCCTGGACCCCAGGCCCTACCAGAATGTACAGTTCATGAGACAAGCATCCTCAGTGCCTTCTAGGAATGTCGCATGTAAGGAGCTCAGGGAGTATTTGTGGAGTGGATGAACTGAATGGCTTGAAAGGCAGAGCACAGTCCTGTTCCACTTCCTTTTGGCATTGCCCTGGCTGCTCTGTAGATGGGAGGTTTTGGAAGGACATGGCAGTCTCTTAAATGCCATGCAAACGCAGCTTCTCAGGAAAGGCGCTCCATGACAGAGCCCTCCTTACAGTTCTTAAATCCTTTCATCAGCTCAGATAGCAAAAGTGCAATCACCTGTGGAGTTAGTCTCTGTGACGTTCTGGCGCTGAAGTTCTGCAGACACATCTGCCAGGCCCCGTAAACTACATGTCATTGCACAAGCAGCTAATGCAGCAACAATTTTTCTGATCCTGAAATGAGTTACAAGTGAGTTTCTAAGATTTCCAGCTTGCTGAACCGTCACTCTCACTGCTCCAGGTTTCCAGGATCGGTCTCCACATCAGAGTTACCTTACTTAGGAATTCAACTTTGGGTAAACATTTCTACATGACCTGCATGGGAAACTCAGCTAAGTTTTCTAGTAAGCCCACCTGGGGCCCCCATGTCTCCCTGGTGTCTCTTGGGCCCATGGGAAGGCAACATACCTGCAACGCTGCCAGCAGGATGCCGCAAGCGATGGAGACGCTGATCTCATTGTAGTAGTGGATTTTTTTCTTGCCATTAGCAGCAAAACCATGCACTTGCTTGAAAATGAGAATCAATACGGGTGCGGTGTCCAAGTACTCTTTAATCCAATTGGTTCTGGGGATGGGGTGAGATTCAGGAGGATATTTGCTCAATGTTTTTGTTTTCATTTACTACCTTAGCTTATTTATGATAAAAATGAAGACATGTTAACTTGTCTTTTATGTTTATATTGAAAAATGATACTTTTTGGGGTGTGTGTGTGTCTTATGCATCTTTTTTTGTCCAACTCAGTGAATTCAATAACATGCATTTGTAAGTTGGTGGAAGACATGAAGATACACTCTAACCCAGGGAGCACTATGCCAATATTTACAAAAGGAAGCCTGGCAGGTGCGACTAAAGAAATAGAAACCAATTGTTTTGGGAATACTTGAAAATTTTAAATGTTAATTTTGAAGAAGAAGATTGGGGGGAAATGTCCCAGAAATGACCTCAAGCTGGGCTCTGAAGACCAGGGGGAGTAGGTGGGTGGAGAGGGCATTGCAGGCAGAGCAAGGAAGAGTCAGGAAAGAGGCACCGCAGGACAGGAATCTCCAGCAGCCCCGTGGGCTGGAGGGTGGGGTGTGTGGCTGAACATGACGGGTGGGTGGGTTCCACACAGACAGGACCTGGCCCTGGTGTGTGGCTAATAGAGTTATCACAGGCTCTGGACAGAAGAATCACAGGAGCAGGCCGGTTTCAGAAAGTGGATCGGTGCATGGGTGAGAGTGAGATCATCAAGGGCAGTGTTTTGAATACCAAGAGAAAGGAAAACCTGGCAGGAGACCCAGGCGATGGCCCAGGCAGGATGATGGGAAGGAAAGGCCAAGCCAGGAGGACGGGAGAGGTGTGGGGCTGGAGCGACAGAACTGGAGTCCTGTTCAGGAGCAGGCGAGGAGACAACGGCGATGGTGAGGGATTTCAGTGACACGCTGTTAGTCCAGTTACAGAAGAAAGAAGGAAATGTTTGAGGTAGCAAGAAATCGTTCATGGGAAGTGTAAATGTGGAGTTGAAATGTTTTTTTCCAGTTCAGAACATCTCTTTCTTGGTTCCATTGCCATGCCACATACATTTTGGTGAAGTTTCATTCCAGAACAGATATTCAGAGGAGAGAAATAACCCAGTAAAGTCATGCACTCCAGTATTCTGGAATTGTTCCTTAGAATATGTTGTGTCCTTAATTAGCAAGAGATGGTAACTGTTCATGTCATCCTTAGCCTAGTTATGCTTCACTGTTTTAAAACACATCCCTGGCCCTAAAAGTAATTTTAAAAAGCATGTAAAATATAGAAAGACTAAATAATGTAAATTTTAAAATATTAGATGAAGATTAAGTAGTTTATCTATATTCTAAGGCAGGCCAATCATTTACAATGTCTTTGTACCACTTACTTTTCCTAAGCAAACATTTGTTAAATTTTAGACCAATTTGTTATAGCATCGTATTAGAGCTTTTAAAATGACAACAGCACTGTTAAAAGCAGGATAATTGGCACCTTCTGGCTGGTGAGATGAGCCAGAGGGGATAAGGTTTGCAAGGTAAGTTGGCTCCACGTTGTGTGTCGGGAATTAATAACAGCTTTGGACTTCAGAATTGCCTGGAACAGGGCAACAGGCATTTGCTCATTTGTTATCCAACTTAACAGATATGTATTCAGTTACCTACTTGCATCAGAATGGTGTTGGGTGGCACAGTGTGAGGCTTTTTAAACCCAAGTTAGACCCCTACAATCTCTGGGTCTGTGTGTGTCTCTGTGTGTACACATATTGCTGGCTGAGAAAGTCTATAGCCTAATTGGATTCTTCAGGTATATATTTCTTAAAAATGGCCTATAACATCAGAAGAAAAGTAAACCAGTCATTAAAATGCTGTGGGGTAGTGGCTATATTAGATGTACGGAAGGTGTTTGTGAGGTATATTGGGTACCCAGATGAAACAGCAATGCATTTTGCCTTGGTCGAGGGAAGTGAGAAGAGCAATAGTATTTTGTAGGTGGTTTGGGCACTGAGAGTCCAACATCTCTCTAAGTATGGAAACTCTACTTGATCTTCACTTATCTCATTTCTTCCCATAAATATGCAGTCAGATTTATATTCATCATTAACATCCTATACTTGTTCCAGAGCACAATAATAAGTTACAAATCCATAAGACATCACTTCTGATACGTATCTTAGGAGAAGATTAAATGAAACAGAAGCAGAGCCAAGAGACCTACCTGTCTTCCTCTAGCTCTAACTCCTGGGCAAGGAGTCCCATTGCACCCCCAAGACTGAGATCCCATCATCCTTTCTTTGGCTAACTAGCACTCTGGGATGTTGGATGGCAGGTGCCACACCGGGCCAGGCAAGGTGGGCAGTAGAGACAGGGTTGTTAGGAGCCTTCGTATTCTAAATGGCCTCTTGGCACAGCCTTCTGAGAAGTGAGAGCCAACATCATCACCCTCATCCCTGCAGTTACACTAAATTCCACTTCGCTTCTTTTTTGGAGCCCATAGTTATTAATGCCCCAAAGATTTACTGGAATTAACTGGTCCTCAAACTGCTTGGTAAAGCCATGTGTAAGACCTGATCACCTTAGCAAAAAGTAATTTGCTTCATCAAGGTTTTGAAAAGAATTTCACAATCTTATGTTCCAGATGGATGAAAACTGAAGTGATTCTTCAGGGTTTTATTTAAGAGGTTGTGATCTGGGTCAGAACTCATAAATTAAGTCAGGGGTGAGGCCTGACTTAATTTTCATAATTTCTTCCAGAAATAGAATTGAATTTTTTGGCACTTAAAACCAGAATGAGATTTGATCGGTGCACGTGTTGAAAAGCCACACTGAACCACATTATTATGCCCAATAAATATGTATTAATTATATGTAAAATATCATTTAAAAGCAGTTATTTCCTTTTAGGGAGTCAAACCAAACCTCCCAGTCTGCCACCTTTGTACCTCAGTTTCTTCAGGTCTGTAACCCAGCGAGGTCCCATTCTTTTCATGTAGTTTATTTCCTCTTCCTCCTCGATGATCTCCCGGATTTGATGCTTCATATCTGGGTCCTTCACGGCCACAAAGGTCCAGGGCTCTGTGTGGGCCCCACTTGGGGCTGTTCCTAGCACCCATTAAATTAAAATCAGCCTTTGAAGCTGCAGGGCAGTGTGAGGCTGTTCACTCAGAGTAAACGTAACACTTCACCCTTGTTCCAGACGAAGTTAGCTAATCTGGGAAGCAAAGTGCCTGCCAGTGGACTCGCTTGCAGCTGTGGTCTCCTTCTCCTTCCCTCACTTTAGGTGTTTCTGAACCATGGCAACTTATCCCTGCCACTCAGTTCAAGGGGGAGAAAACACCCCTAAGTAACTGCACCATGACTAGTCGAGAGACCCAGTGGGATATGACCACTGCAATTCACCAATATGCCATTTGTTTTGATATTCTTGAAAAAAGATATTGTCATGAAGCTTACTGGGGATGGCAAAATATCAATGGTAAAATGATTTCTGAAATATTCCTCAAAAGGTAACTAAATTATCTATTATTTAGTGCCTCTGTCATGGCTCTGAGTCTGACACCATAAGGTTTGGGATCTTGGGAATACAGTAGAACAGAACACCTTACTACTCCTGTGGACTTTGGGACTTCAGCCCACAGCCAGATCGGCACCCTTCAGATCTGGGGCACCCCTTTGTCCAAGGAGCTTGAATTCCCTGTGAACATCCAGGGGTGGGGGGGTGGGGACTGGGGCCACCCCGTAGTCACAGAGATGGCCCACTGTTCCCAAGGGTGGGCCACAGTGACCTGCAGTGGGATATTTCAGAAGCAATGATTTCTTCCTTCCTAGTGAGTAGTTCAGTGGAATAAACTCTACCTGTGGAGGGAGTGAAGCCTGTTGACTCTCGGAGCGGGGTCTTGGTTGTCACCCAACACTCCCAATATCGGAAGTCATCATTGGTTGTAAAAGGAAAGTCAAAAGCCAAGCAGGAGACCTAAATTTCTACAGTGATTTCAGTTAACTTTGTACCCATTTTATTTGTTCACTAAATATTTGTACCTCTAAACATAGTAAATGAATAATTCCTCTCTAATAAATTATGCCACATTTACCTCATCATCATATGTTCACACACCCATATACAGATATAGATATAAATACGAAATTTAGTGACTGTGGCTAGTTAAAGCACTCAACAATAACACAGTTGTATTCTTTTGTTTTCTGAGACAGGGTCTCACTGTATATTCTAGGCTGGCCTTAAACTCACTATGTAGCCCAGGCTGGCCTCCAACTTGCTGCGATCCTCCTGCCTCAGCCTCTCGAATGCTGGGGTAACAGGCATGCGCCACCATACCCAGGTTACAGTTGTATTCTTAACTGAAACAAAGTGTTTTATACTTGCTTCCTTTTAAGTTAGACAATAGTGTCACAAGGAACATACAATAATTTCTACAAATGAACTTAAATAAGATTTATATAAGAGTAAGAATAATTAGAGAGAACACTCAGGAGACTTATTCTTACAACTTCTATCCTTTTTTTGTAGCTCTCACCCCCTTCCCCCATAGAGATATTACTTTACATTAAAAATTATTTGGTCTTGCTTTGGTTTACTTTGCATATTTAGATGTGTAAACTTTGCTAGTTCATTACCATCCTATAGGATAGTAGACTTATAGCACAGTAGGCTTAATAGATAAATGTATTACTCTCACCTTCATTCACATGTTTGAATTTCAATATTATTCCACTAGTGTCACTCTAGCAGGGCAGATAACACTCTCAAAGACTCAATGTGCAATTACTAACCTGCTGTTTTGATGACATTATCAATGACTTCCATTGGGATTTGCTCATCACTTATGAACCTGACTGACCGTCTCTTACTGAGAAGTTCATAAAAGTCCTGAGCTCTCTTAACCATTTCTTTCTCAGGATACCGGGTGTGGGAGAATGGGATATGTTCAACAGGTTCCTCTGACTCCTGCCATTCATCAGCATCTGCAGATAAGAACCAGAAAAGTCGAAAATTCAGTGATCTCTCCATCATAAGGTGGCCACTGGGAAAGGAGGGAGAGTTTCTCAAGGTTATATAAGCTCAAAAAAATCAACAACAAAAAGAAAAAGAGAAAGAAGGGAGGGAGGGAGGGGAGAGAGAAAGAGAGACAGAGAAAAGAAGACAGAAGACGAGGAGGAAGAAGAGGAAGAGGAATAGGGAGAAGGGGAAGAGGAAGAAGGAGGAAGAGGAGGAGGAGGAAGAAGGAGGAGAAGGAGAAGAGGAAGAGGAATAGGAAAAAGAAAAGAGAGTAGATTTACAGAATCCTGATGTGACTATCCTTCAAACTCTAGACTTGTTATAAATCAAGAAAGAAATACTTTTTTCTTTACCTATGAAAAGATGAGGATTTCAAATTTCTGCTAATGGTGTACTAGGTTATTTGAAACAATCTTTTACCTGATGAAAATCATTCAGATCACCAAATAAGGTATTTTTTGAAGTTTTTTTTAAAAAAAATCATTGAACTGACAAAATAGTAAGAAATTACCAGACCCAAACTGAAGGGAAAATATAAACCCACAGAAAGATAGGCACAAATTTCTGATTGTTTCTGCTAATCCCTATAATTTGAATTTCCATTTTTGTATTTTCAGGGATCAAGGGCAACCAAAATTAAAGCCCAGGCTTATACACAATGGGAAGGCTAATAACCTGGGAGCTTGTCTTAGTTACTTTTCTCTCATTGCTGAGACAAAATACACAACACCCACAGCTAAGGTGGGAAAGGTTTATTTAGGCTTACAGTTTATAGAGGTTTCAGTCCACAGTCGGCTGGCCTGAAGGCAGGGTAGCATCACAGAGGAAAACAGTTCATGACAGGCAGAGGGTAGCAAAGCAGCAAGGGACAAAACAAGTCCCTTTCTATCCCTTACATTGTATTCAGGCCACCAGGATTAGGATGGTGCCAAACCAATCAGTGGACTGATTTAGTAATCACACACCCTTATTCCTAGAACCCGTAATCCTAGCACTGCACCATGAATCAATCACACATTCTAGATTCAGCCACCTCTAAAAAAGCCTCGCCTATGACTGGATGAGGCTTTGGGGGTACATCTAGACACAAGGCATAACAGAACCCAATAGTATATGCCTAGAAAAGTGAGAATTATTAAAATACCAGCCCTCATTAGCTTATGTCATTCTTGTATATCCTGTCTCAAACTTGAACTTAAGATAAAGTGGTCCTGGCTAAAAATACCCCAATTGGCTAGCAGAAGAAAATGCCAATATACAAATAAATTCAAGTACAATTACTAGCACCATATACAATCAGGCACATAAAGAAACAAAACATCTTGAGCAAGAAGTAGCTGAATCAAAAAAATATATATAAAGTCAGATGCCCAAAGATTCCAAATACTATAATTGTTAGGTTCGGAAGGTAAAGCAATTATGTTAGCATGTTCAGGGAAGAAGAAAAGACAAACACAAATCTATAGACTACAAGAAAGAATAAAATGTGACTTGAAAAATAAGAAAAAAAATAGAACGTTTAGAACTGACAAATAATAGAATTAAAAATTTAATGGATAGATTTATTAGCAGGGAAACTACCTTAAGGAAAAATTAATGAACTGAGAGTAAGTCAGAAGAAAATATCAAGAATAAAACAAAAGGTGAAATGGAGAAAAGAGGGAAAAGGAGCATAGTATGACTAATATAATTTTTTTCATAATCATAAGATAAAAATGAGAATGTGACAGAAGCAGTATTTGAAATCACAATGGACACCACCAAAATCCAGAAGATCATTCGTAACTACTATGAAAAATCGTACTCCAAAAAATTGGACAACCTTGAAGAAATGGGCAGATTCCTAAATACATATGAATTACCAAAAATGAACTCAGAAGACAAAAATTCTGAACAATATAATAACAGACAATGAAATTGAGGGAAGAGGAAAAAAAACCCTACCAATTAAGAAAAGCCCAGGACCTGATGGATTCACTGCAGAATTTTAGAAGACCTTCAGGGACAGTGTAAGGCCAATACTCCTTAAACTCTTCAATGAAATTGAAAGGGAAAGAATATTTCCAAACTCATCCACAGAAGCTAGCATTACTGCAATTCCAAAATCAGACAAGGACCCAACTAAAAAAGAAAATGTGAGAATCTCTTTAATGAACATAGGCACAAAAATCCTTAACAAGATACTGGCAAATGGAATCCAAAAATGAATGAATTGTCAAAAAGATAATACATCATGACCAAGTAGGTTTCACCCTAAAGATGAAAGGATGGTTCAACATTCACAAATCAATAAATGTAATGCATCATATAAATAGAAATAAGGACAAAAATCACATGATCATGTCAACAGATGCATAAAAAGCTTTTGACAAAATCCAGCATCCTTTCATGATAAAAACACTGAAGAAAATAGGCATAGAAAGACCTTATTTTAATCTAATAAAAGCCATTTATGGCAAACCAATGGCCAATATCATATTAAATAAGGAAAGGCCAAAAGCTTTCCCTCTAAAATCAGAATAAAGACAAGAATGTTCACCATCACCACTCCTGTTCGATATAGTAATCTAAACATTAATTAGAGAAATCAGGCAAGAAAAAGAAATAAAATGGATATATAAAAGAAAGGAACAAGCCAAATTATCATTATTTGTAGATGCCATGATTTTTTACATAGAAGATCCAAAAATTTCCACTAAAAAACTCTTAGAACTAATAGCCAAATTGAGCGATATAGCAGTATACAAAAGCAACACACAAAAATCAATAGCATTTCTGTACACCAATAGAGAAATCACTGAGAAAGAAGTTGAGAAAATAATATCATTTACAATAGCATCAAGAAAATTAAATACTTAGAAATTAACCTGCCTAAGGAGATGAAAGATCTCTACAATGAAAACTACAGTTTCAAAAAGGAGATCAAAGAGGACATTAGAAAATGGAAGGGCATTCTCTGGTTGTGAACAGGCAGAACCAAAATTATCAAAATGGCCATGGGCTGGGGATTTAGCTCAGTGGTTTCGCCACCTGCTGCGCAAGTGCAAGGACCCGAGTTCGATCCCCAGTACCAAAAAAAAAAATGGCCATACTTCCAAAAGCTGATATATAGATTTAATACAACCCCAACAACATTCTTCATAAAAACTAGAGAAAATAATCCAAAAATTCATATGGAACCAGAAGAGATGCAGAATAGTAAAAGCAATCTTGGGTAACAAGAGCAAAGCAGGAGGCATCACAATCCTGGACTTCAAGTTATACTACAAAACTACCATGATAAGAAACAGTATGGTACCAGCACAAAAACAGACATGTGGCTCAGTAGACCAGAATAAAGGACATAGAACAACCCCAGACACATTCAGCTATCTGAAGTTTGACAAAGGGGCCAAAAACATATGCTGGAAAAAAGATAGCCTCTTTAGCAAATGGTGCTGGGAAAACTGGCTATCACATGCAGAAGCTAGACCCATATCTCTCACCATATACTAAACTAAAATTGAAATGATTCAAAGGTCTAAATGTTAAAACAGAAACATTTAACCTGCTCAAAGATAAAATAAAGAAAACTCTTGAAGTCATAGGCTTAGGAAAGGACTTTCTGGACAGAACCCCAATTCCACAAGAAACAATATCAAGAATCAACAAATGGGATTATAACAAATTTTAAAACTTCTGCACAGCAAAGGAAACAACCAACAGAGTGAAGAGAGAACCTACATGATGGGGAAAGTTTTTGCCAGCTATTCCATGGACAAAGGATTAATAAGAATATATAAAGAATGAAAAATTAGATCCCCCAAATAAGAGAACCAATAAAAAATAAGCCATTGAAATAAAGACACTTTTCAGAAGAAATACAAATGGCCAAGAAATGCATGAAAGAATGTTCAACAGTAGAAAAATGGAAATTAATACCAAGATTCCACCTTACTCTAGAAAGAATGGCTATCATCAAGAAATCAAATAATAACAAGTGCTGGTGAGGCTGCAGGGAAAAAAGGAACCCTTCTACATTGTGAGTGGGAATGTGAACTAGTACATCAGTGGACATCAGTGGACATCAGTGTCGAGATTATTTAAAAACCAAAAATTAGAAATTCCATTCAACCCAGCTATTCCCCTACTAGGTATCTTTCCAAAAGAGTTAGAGACATCAATTACAGTGATATATGAGCATCCATGTTTATAGAAGCACAGTTCATAATAACTAAATCTTGGAAGCAGCCTATAGGTCCATTAAGAGATGAATAAATAAAGAAAATGTGGTATTTAAACACAATGGAGTATAGTACTACTCTGCTATAAGGAAGTATAAATTTGAGTAATTTGTAGGAAAATGAATGCACCTTGAATCCATAATGTTAATTGAACTAAATCTGATACACAAGCTTAAATATTGCATGGTTTCTCTTATATGAGAAACTCAAAGTATAAATAAATTAAAGAAGAAAATAAAACATACAAACAATAAACAGGGAGATACATCATTTGCAAATGGTAAGGGGACCAAGCAATGGAAGAATGAGGAGGAAGGTGAGGGAGGAGGGAAGGAGATATAAAACGAATCAAGATGTGATATGTCATGTACATGTACCAACTCCCCACTAGAATAATGTACATGAAGAATGAATGCATTCATTATATACTGCAAAGATGTACTAATAAAAAAGAAAAAAGGAAAAGGTAGTGTCTGGGATTTTCTAATTTTAAAAACTTTTAGGCAAGAATATAGGAGAATGTCTGTATAACCTTGGAATGGAGAAGGATATCTTAAACAAGACATGCTAACATTAATCAAAAGAAAAAGATTATTAACTACACGAAAGTCACCATCACATTTGCCTGCCTCTGTTATTACTTCTAGTTCTCCCTCTTACTTTCCATTCTGAGAATTGCTGGAAGCTCATTATCAGTTCCTCAGGATCTTACAGAAAATGAAGATGCAATCAAAGATTCAATA